TTTAGTCAATGACGTACTCAAAACTGAATAATTTATGTGGCATGAAAAGGTTTGTGTGCAATATTCATCACAGCCGGTTGAATTATTTACATAAACAAGCAGTGATGTTGCTCACATAAATGTTGTAAAAGAATATATGGATGGGAATCTGAGCTGAGGCCTGTGAATCTGTATTGCAGTTTGAAAAGGAAAATTGCTTCAGATCTACAGGGGTGCGTGCCAACAGATTTGGCGAACACTCCATTGCGTATTTTTGATTCCATTTAAAATGGGTTTTTGCAGCGGTAAACAATGTAGCCAATCACAGATATGTTTGTTGATCTTTTGAATGCAATGGCCAATCAGAGGTGTTTAATTTAGTCAGAATCCACTCACCGCTCAAAACGCCAGAGTTTTTGTTCAGTGCTGAGTTCTGCACGCTCGCGAATCCTCTCGTTAACAAACAAAGTGTAGACACGGTGTAAGTAAGAGATTCATTGTGCAGTGTAGACAGCTTCATTGTTTATAATGGAACTTTGTGAGATCGCAATGAACTGAGATGAGTGACGGATTTTTAGTGATTATAAAGGGAACGATCTTTGCAGGCTTTCGAGGTTATGTTTCCATTGGATCAAAGTTTTGTTTTTCATGCAGCTAAGAGGTCCGACAGCCAATTACACACTGCATAGTTTCGGAAGTGACATCATATGCATATAAATGTGGGATTCACTCTTGAAAATTCATGATAATCTTTAGCATTTTTTAAGCTAAAATAATGACATTTTATGAGATGGCTTAAAGAACTAAACAACTGTTGCAAAGTAGATTAAAGGAACACGCCGACTTTTTGGGACTTTAGCTTATTCACCGTATCCCCCAGAGTTAGATAAGTCCATACATACCCTTATTATCTCCGTACGTGCTGTAGCTCTGTCTGACGCACCCACCGATAGCCTAGCTTAGCACAAAGACTGGAAGTAAATGGCTCCAGCTAGCATACTGCTCCCAATAAGTGACAAAATAACGCCAACATTTTCCTATTTATATGTTGTGATTTGTAGTCACAGTGTGTACAAATAACAAGGTCATGTGAGACAGCCATCTTTTAACCGTATACATGCTGGGAACTATATTCTCAGAAGGCGAAGAACTTGATACTTGAACTTGCACCCTGCTACTTGGGTGGAGTGATTAGCGCAACACTCTGAGCGAACTCTCTGCTCCTTACCACGGGGCTTCTCAGGTGCTGCGAGCAAACCACTCCGCCCAAGTAGCAGTGCTTCGCATTCTGAGAATATAAAATATGTGTTATTTTGTCACTTATTGGGAGCAGTATGCTAGTAAGCTAGGCTAGCGGTTGTTGCATCAGACAGAGTTACAGCACGCACGGAGATGAAAAGGGTATGTATGGACTTATCTATCTCTGGGGGATACGGTGAATAAGCTAAAGTCCCAAAAAGTCGGCGTGTTCCTTTTAAAGGTACTTTTTACAGCCTTTTTGTCTATTTAAGATGTTTAAAAGTTCACAGACACCCTTATGAAACCTTAAACCTTTTATATAATACTTAAACTGTGCATGTTCATCAGATTACTTATCGAAACATGGTGAGTTGGATCCTCCTGCTACAGAACAACACAGAATCGCTAGTTACAGTGCAGAGTCGATTTAAAGTACAGAGTCGATTTAAAGAGCATGCAATCTCCCCCATTTATTGAAATAGAAAGTACTGGGTTACATAAAAGGTCTAAATATTTCAAACACTGTTATGAAAAAAATGAGAGAGGAGAGGGAGAAGAAAAGGAGAACAGAGCGGAGAGACAGAGAGAGAGTAATAGAGCGAGGGAGGGCTCTGGTATGCAAGTATGCGTTTCTAAAATGAGAGGCGCAGTTAGAGGAAGCGCCATGCCAAATTATAGCCAAACCCTTTCCTTGTTGTACTTCACATTATCAGGCCTTCTGACCACAGCTGATGCTTTGCACCCTGAGCTCCACCCAGACCAAGACCTCTAATCCTGGTTGAACACACTCGACACGTAAAACACACCATGTTGAGCACACAGGCACTAAAACATCCAGGACCAAATGGAGCCTGGCGGGCTGGTGAATAAACACCAAATGCTGGCGGCTGCCAACATAAACTGTACTGATGGACCAGCATGCTTTCATTCTTGGCTCAAGCACTTGGTTGTTCAAATCTTCCACAGACTGTGTCCAACTCTCTCAAGAAGTCTCATCCCAAAAAAACACCTTTAGACTAGATGTTTATCTAATTGATATCGAGTGGTTTTACCACGTTGCTGCAGTAGCTGTTCTACCCTTGTGAATAGCATACTTTAAAAAAATACTAATTACGTAAAACCATAAACTTTAAAGTGGGACTTTACTTAAAGCTGCTGTCCGTAACTTTTTTAAGTTAAAAATAATCCAAATTAATTATTTAAAAAAAACCATCTTCAGCCAGTGTTCAAAACTATCTGCTTGCCATAGCTAGATTCAAAACGGTTAGCTTGTAATAATGATTTTAATTCCAGTGGTACTGGTGGGTTTTTCGCGGGAAATTCGAGCATGTCTTTGCGTCATTACGTCACATCCGTACACATAAAGAAGGAGTTTCGGCTAGCCGGCTATACTGCGCGTGAGGAGATGTAGAGATAGGCTTTTCTCGCAGCACTTTAAATGATTAAACTTATGGCGGATCCAGAAAGATCCAGACAACAATCATCAGTGCCAACTGGAGATTAACCAGTTATAAAACCCAAAAGACTTCGTACTTCGGATTTAAGGTGGAAAGAGAAAGAAACCGTCTCATGCGAACACAAGGATACACATCGGTGGGGCTTTTGAAAGGTGCGTGAACTCCCGAAGGGGTTCGAAACGGAAGAAGAGACGGCTTTTTTCTGCTGAACAAGTAAGACATTTCAATAGTTCAATCGTGTAACAGTACGTTTTCTTAATTCACACAGTTATGGAGTTTCCTTTGTTGTGCCTTTCTCGTTTAGCTATTATGGAGAATATGAATTCTGAACTACACAGGTAATCATAAAACACATTAAATAACGTTAGTCACGCAATGCTGATGTGATGTTGTTAACATGAACAATTTGAGAACAAAGTAGGCTATGATTTGCACGGTTGCTGTAAATCGCGCTGATTAAATCTAACGATCGCTTGTCATGTCGAATGCTTTTCCCCCCTTAGTTGATCAGAACAAAAATGGATGTTACTTACTTGTTCAGAAGACATTTTCCGGTGAAAATTCTTATGTTGGTCAAGCTTTCAAAAAGTGAATCTGTGATTCTGAATGACAGTATCCACACAGCGCGGTGATTGACAGCAGCACTCGCCTCAAAACACTGTGTTCATCCGCGCTGTTTCATGCCGATTTACAACCCACGTAAAGATGATAATTCCGCGAATCACTGCAGTTACAGATTTCGAACAGAGATGGCGACAAAAAGGCAAAAAGCTACGGACTGCAGCTTTAAGTGGGAACTGAATGTAGGTTTCGGACACTTAATTTGCATGTTATTAACTAAATGTATTATAATTAAAATTTATAACAAATGCAATTAGTTTAAATTAAGAGTGCTTTTTGACTCACTTAAGTAGGACCAAGTACATATGTAATTTTCATAATTATTTATATTGTCTTTGAAATATGGTTCAAGTGTACTGTCCAATGTACTGAAAAGCATAGGCCCATACTTTAATGTAATTTCTAGAGAAACTTGTATGTCATGTATGTAAATATATTTGTAATTACACATTTGTAATGATGAAGTTGCAATTTAGTACATTTAAAAGATATTAACTGTAAATGTAATATCAAATGAAACACTACAGTTAAAATTATAATCAAGTACTTTACATGTGCTTTAGTATGTTAGTCAACAACACAACAAAATAAGTGTACTTCTTTAAAGCAAAACAAAAGATAATTAAAACAAAATAATTTAAAATGTACTTTAAAGTAAAACTTGACATTATTACAAATCATTATTACAGATAGATCTATCTATCTATCTATCTATGTTTCTATCATTATATCATCTTCAAGTATAGTTTTTATAAAAATATTTTTTAAAGATTTGAAGTACACTACAAGTGCACATTCAGTACAATCAAGAGCGCTTCTATTTCACAAGGGTAGGTGGCTGCTTATTTAAACAACCATTAACCCCATCAAAGAACTGTAACAGTAACATCTTAAAGGGATAGTTCATCCACAAAAATCACTTTAAGTGAAGGGACATGTGGTGTGCATCATCATCCTCCATTGTTCTTAGTACCAAACCAAGATGGATCCAAAATAACTCTTTAAAAACGAAACACATGGAACGAGAGTTCCAGCAACATAGGTTTGCATTTGCACTGGCTCTCCAGTCTGGCACTGTAAAAGTAAAATGACTCCAGAAGAAAAAGTAAAGACACAGCAGAAACAACGAGCCCCTTTTATAAGTGCTCCTGCTCTTTGAGGGGAAAAAAGAGAATGTGAAATGAGCCATGTTTTGATCATGAGCCAAAAGTAACACTAAAGTCTGGTAAAGGTGGGGGCTGCACTATGGGCCTGCACTTGCACATTCCACACCGCCACACTTCCTGTCTGTGAAAAGCAGGTCAGCCCAGATCCATTCACTAGAATCAAACTAATTCAGGTATTTCAATTGACTAACAATACGCCACCTCAAGGCCACTGCAGTGTTTATGTCTAACAAGTCTACAGTGTCATATGATCCTTCAGAAATCATTCTAATATGCTGATTTGCTGCTCAAGACACATTTCTTATTATTATCAATGCTGAAAACAGTTGTGCTGCTTAATATTTATGGGAAAACCGTGATAATTTTCTTTACAGGATTCTTTGATAAATAAAGAGTTCAAAAGAACAGCATATATTTGAAATAAAAGTATTTTGTAACATTATAAATATCTTTACTTTTTACTTTTTTTTGATTTAATGCATCTTTGCTGAGTAAAAAAAAAGATCCCAAACGGTAATGTAGGTATTATTAATTTTACCTCAACACTCTCCAGTGAGGTGGAGCGTCTGAGCTTGGCTCTCCTTACACCGTTTATTTCCACTTTGTCAGTCCCAAACGCTGGTGAATCTTCTGAGTCTGCTGTGAGCTCTAAGTCAGTTTTGTCTGGCCGTGATCGCCGCCCGTACCGCTTGGTTCCTTTCACATATTTAGGCTTCACCTCCTCTGGGACTGCTAGAAGAATAGGAAATGATGCTTAGTTTAGAGCGACAGATAATCAAAGTATGTCAGAAGCAGTCAAAATGAAGAAACAAAATAGTGGTAGAAGTAATAGTAGGTCATCTCACATCATTTGTTCATCTATGTCATAAACTTTCTCATTAAATGAAAAATATGCTTGAAAGGAAATGAAAACCTAAAAGAAACCTCTCCAACATCTGTTTCTCATCACAGCTTTCAGGTTTTACCATTTTCAAAGATAATTTTAGCATTGAGCTCTGAGATTTCACAACATACATTATTGTACCAGTCTCCCTAATGCATCTATGAAAAAAAGACAAATGTTATTCTGGCTTTGGCTTAAAGAAGACCTGCACAAAAAGTTGCAGCATCTGTATAACATATTATTACGCCTCCAGTGAAAGGGGCCATAGCAATCAAAAGGCAGGTACCTCAAGGTATGATGTGGTATTATTGTGAATGCCAATAATAATTTTGTCTTAATAACAATGTCTTTAAACCAAATAAATTCAAAGTTGATTAAGAAAGATAAAAACGACACAAAAACATTACCTTAAGTTAAAATAATGATTGCTTTCTCTTCCTGTCTTCTTATATTTGTGTGTTCCATTTTTCAGTGCCCCCAAAATTAATAAAAGTGTAAGAAAGCCACACTTAAAAATGTATGAATGTCTTTCAATTTCAAACCAAGTGGCATTTCCAAACAAATAATGCTAGAGATTTTCTCACATCTAGCCTCAATTTTCTTTTAACAATTTTTCTTAAACATGTTTGCTTTCAACCAGTGGTCCCAAGGTCATTTTTAGTGGATGTATGAAGTGTGGTTTAAGTGTCAAAATACTTTCTAAGGCCAATATGCCATATAGTTATATTTTTACATGCCTTTAAAAAAATGTTTACATAAAACCCCAATTCCCGAAATACAAACTACCGTTCAAAATTTTCAGTACGATTTTTTTTATTATTATTCAGCAAGGATGCATTAAATAGATCACAAGTGACAGTAGACTTATATATTGTTAGTTGTTACAAAAGATTTCTATTTCAAATAAATGCTGTTGTTTTTCAATTCTATTCATCAAAGAATCCTTTAAACATGTATCACGGTGTCCACAAAAATATTAATCAGCACAACTGTTTTTAACATGTTTCTTGAGCAGCAAATCAGCATACTAGAATGATTTCTGAAGGATCATGTGACACTGAAGACTGGAGTAATGATGCTGAAAATTCAGCTTTGCCATCACAGGAATAAATTAAAATTTTAAATACATTTAAAAAGAAAGCAGTTACTTTAAATTGTAATATTAATTCAAAATATTAAATTATGGATTATTATAATATAATTTTTTTACTGTCATTTTGGTCAACCTTGGTGAACATAAGAAAATATCAAAAACTGTGTAACTAACCATAAATATACCCCGCTATTCATTACCAAATAAAAATGAGCATTTAGACAAAAAACACGATCCTTCAGTTCCTCTGGGTACAGATATTATATCAACTACACATCATGTACCATTAATAAACCTTGAGGACACAAGGTCCTGACTGACTAATACAAAAATCATGCAGATAAACAGGCCTAAAAGCTTTGATAACCGTGAGTATATGAAGGTCACTTTCCACTAGAATACCTGGCTCAAGATAGCTGCTCTCCTCCTCTGAAGTACTGAAGTCCAAAGACCTTGACAGCACAGCCACAAAGCCCTCTTTGAACTCCTCAAAATGTACCTGTAAAAAGAGATTATCTTAACATAATACAGCATTAGGATTAGAGACACTGGGATGATCGTGGGGAACTTCTCACCCTGGCATAATTTTGTGGTCCTAGCAGAGTGTCCAGCAGCAAGGGGAGATGGGCATCTAAGCTCAGCTTGTGGCATAAGGCAGTAAGCTCCTCTTTGTCGAGGTAACCTGTCCCGGTGGTGTCACAGCTGTCAAACTCAGCCTTCAACTGGGCCACATAGCGGTTCTGCTCCTCCTCATCCATCCCACCACATACTGCACCGCCAGCAAAGTCTGGGACATGAATGTAGAATTAAAGAAATGAAAAATGTCAAATTCTGTCATCATTTACTCATCCCCATGTCGTTCCAAAGCCGTAAGACTTTCGTTCGTCTTCGGAACACAAATGAAGATTTTTTAAATGAAATTGAGCGATTTCTGTCCCTCCGTTGACAGCTACCCATCTAACACTTTGACGCTTTAAAAAGTTCATTAAGTGATCGTAAAACTAATCCATATGAATTGAGCGGTTTAGTTAAAATTTTCTGAAGAGACTCGATCGCTTTATATGATGAAAAGATTGAATTTTATTCAGGCTTTTATTCACATATAAACATACATCAACTCGCATATCAGTTATAGTAAACAGAAGCTTAAGCATGTTCACTTAACATGCGAGAACCAATGAGGTTCATACGCTGATTTCACGCAGCCGCCATTTTGAAATGGCTCCGGTGGGCGATATTTTTTTTCACAGGATGGTAGGGGAAGACTCATGAATATTCATTAGGGAACTCATCCCTGATTGGTCTGATGACCTCCCCCTAACCCCGCCCCTAAACCTACCCGTCACTGGGGGTCTGATGACTTACCCCTAACCCCGCCCCTAAACCTACCCGTCACTGGGGTTAAGACCAATCAGGGATGAGTTCCCTAATGAATATTCATGAGTCTTCCCCTACCATCCTGTGAAAAAAAATATCGCCTCCGGTGGGAAGAAAACTGGAAGTGTCGCCTTTAATCATAGGAGAGTCGCGAATGCGATGGCGTATTGTTGTGTTTAATGTAGAAATTAGTTATTCTAAAAATGTATGTACATTTCTTTCATACTTCAGACTATATACAGTGAAATTCATTTATAAATATTTTTTATTATTATATATATATATAATTCAGAATGTAAAAAAAGAAGCAGGAACGAACTATAGACATATCCTATATTGGATATTAACATCCAATAGTGTAAATCGCGGCAACAGCTTCATTTTGGTAGTCCAAGGCATTGTTGTCTATCTGTACTTCCGGGGTTCTTCCCACCGGAGCCTCGCTTTCGTTTTCAAAATGGCGGCTGCATGAAATCAGCATATTCCCGTGTAACGCAGCACGTTTGAGCTTCGGCAAAAACCAGTGAGGTTTGTTTTCGTGCATCAAGCAGGTTTGTTTGAGCTTCTGTGTGTGTTCGCTGATCAATGTTTATATGTAAATAAAAGACTAAATTAAATCTGTTCATCATATAAAGCGCTCAAGTTTTTCATATGGATTAGTTTTACAATCTCTTTATGAACTTTTTGAAGCGTTAAAGTGGTAGTTGCGCAGACTGTCATTGGAGGGACAGAAAGCTCTTAGATTTGATAAAAAAGATCTTCATTTGTGTTTCGAAGATGAACGGAAGTCTTACAGGTTTGGAACAACATGAGGGTGAGAAAATGATGACAGAATTTTCATGTTTTATCCCTTTAAAAGTGATAAAGGGTGAGAAAATGATGACAGAATTTTCATGTTTTATCCCTTTAAAAGTGATAAACAAGGCTAGTGGTCAATTCCTCATTACTGCAGCCTGATGTATGAGCACCACTCTCTATCCTACATAGAGAGTAATTGATTGAATTGATGAACTTTATTGATCTGACAATCTTATCTAGGCAATCTAGAGTTGATGATGCATGCTAATTTAGGCACAAAGAAATACATTCTACGCAATCTTCCAAAAGCTTGGGTACAGTAAGATTTGACTATTTATTTATTTTTTAAGTGGAGTAATGGCTGCATAAAATTCAGCTTTGCCATCACAGGAATAAATTACATTTTAAAATATGCTATATATACAGTGATATTTTAAAAGTTTACATTTTGTAGAACATTTCTGAAGCCTAATTTACCATATAAACACATAGGCTAGGCATTATAGTAACACCATTTTATTGTTTCTTCTGTTATCCTGTTGGTCTGATTGTTTTAAGGTGTCTTTTATTTAGCCAAGAATGTCTTAGTAACTGGCAATAGAGTGTATTAATACCAATCCAACAAAGCACTCCACAGTAACAAACACTTCAGTGTTTTAGCCAGTAAGAGATTATTTATCAGTAGTCTCAAGTGACTTCAGATAACAGTGGAGGCCAGAGAAAAGTAACGTTTAGACTTAAAATATCTCAAGCTTAAAAAAAAGTTACTTTAACACTTTGAATCCACTATAGCACTGACTGAATGGAAACCCCTTCAGAATCATAAACACCCCCGAAAGTCAAATCAAAATAGGGTATTTAGATCCGAATTCCAAGTAACTTTTTCACACACAAACATTATTAAATAATTTTTTTTTAAACAGACAATTTGTTTTACTACATTTGAGAATTAACCCTGAAGCCTGCAGGTATCCCACAATGCAGCACGCGGGTTGGTATACATTCACCATGGGAACGAGCCAACGAGGACAAGACTAATGTAAAACAAAAGTATTCTCGATTGCAGTAGCCTAATGTACTACTTTCCATTGTAAATATTCATTTTCAAAGTCCTCGTGACTCGTTATAGATGCGCAGGCGATCACTTAATGAAAAAATGCGTTAATGTGACATCGGTGAAATTCAAACCATCTTACCGTTGTAACCTCACACCGACTCCGTTCCCGTAAAAATCACTTTATGACCAGCATCAGTCGCAGTTTCGTCTTAAAACATGTGGTCATAAAGTGAACGACCAAAGACGGAAAGAGGTTTTTCTCTTTGAAATAGACATAAGTAACGCATCCAAGAAAAGTGTCCCGGGTAGAAGCACGCTGTCGCCGGACAGACACCCGCCGGAGAGCAGCAGCAGCGGCGCTAGTGCGGGGAGGTACCGTACCAATGTTCCTGCGCCTTCAGAGATGCTCCTTTCTGCAGCCCCTGCTGGTCAGGCGGTGGACTCCAATGGGACGAGACGAGAGATCATGCATACACGACCCCCAAATGAATCCCCAGAGACTAAAGGCCCGTTCATTTCAAGAACGATAACTGTATTAGCAACCACACCAACAACCGATAACGGTCTGTTTATTATAAGCTGCAGATTTGTCGTCTGTCGCTTTAAATGCTCGAGTTCTTTTAAGCAGGGTGGATTCTGACTGGCTGTTAATGGTTTTTTTTTGTGTTTTTTTTTTGTGTTGTTCATCTGCTGGATAAAATCGTTCTGAAAGTGATTTTATCTTTATAGTTTTGGTGTGAACTTTGCTATTATTATAATGATTTTTGGAACTATATATATATATATATATATCGTTATAGTTATATCGTCCTTGGTGTGAACGGGCCTTAACTCTGGTGTTGCATTGCTGTGTTGGCATTGCATTCTGGCATTTGCATTATATTGTGCCTACTGTAAAATAAAATAAAGTTGAGCACTTTATTCTTTAATACTTTTGTTTTTAATAGTTGCTTTAAGTGGGTAGATTAATTTATCAAATGCACGTTTACATAAGAAAAAGAAACACTTGTTTACATGATCTCTTATCTTCACAGGTCATTTAATTCTAGGACTTTGAGGGTCCACGGCACGCATACACGGCTTTTAGAGCGCCACCCGTCGGCAGAAACATGGAATGTTGTTCCAAACCTGTGTGAGTTTCTTTCTTCTGTTGAAAACAAACAGTCATCATTTTTTGTCATCATTTACTCACCCTCAAGTTGTGCCAAATCAGCATGTTTCTTTTTTCTGCTGAACACAAAAGAAGATATTTAGAAGAATGTTGGTTATCAAACAATTGACGGCAGCCATTAATTTCCACAGTATTTTTTTCTACTATGGAGGTTAATGGCTAACGTCAACTGTCTGGTTATCAACATTCTTCTAAATATCTTCTTTTGTGTTCAGCAGAAAAAAGAAACATGCAGATTTGGCACAACTTTAGGGTGAGTAAATGATGACAAAAAAAAAAATAATTTTTAGGATCCGGAGGATTAACTTTTTGAAAAACGTAAACTTTTTACTGTACACTGTTCCTAACGTGTATAACTTTTTGTTCAGTGCAACACAAAGAGAGATGTTAGGCCTAATACGTCAGCCTCAGTCGCCCTTCACTTTCATTATATGGTCAAAAATGCTCTAAAAAGAGTGGCGACTGACAGGTTGTCATCTGTATAACATCTGCTTTTGTATTTTACAAAAAAAGTTTGGGATAACATATTAATAACTGATGATGACAGACTATTGATGACAATAGTTTATATTCAACACCACCTGCTGGTGTTAAGTGCTCCAAGATATCTTGCAAAGATATGTTTTTAATCATTTAATCAATAGGGTTCTACTTGTATATCGAAAAGTTAAATACTATACTAAATTCTCTAAAACACATTAGGATTTATTTTCATGCATAATATTAGCCCTATCAATATTATTAATTATTAATGTACATCTTAGACAAGAAAGTCCCACGTTGTTCAAATCAGTGGCAGTGGGCCAAAGGTGGCCCGTGATGGTTTGTTTTATTTTTGCTTTCAAATGTGGAGGAGAATATGGACTAAATGAAACTGTTTCTTTAAACATGTACGTTTTAATATAGGTGGATGTAATACAAAGTATACTTTCATCCCACAGCCTTCAATCAAGTTTTTTGGCCCTTCGAAATCGAAGTAAAGTTTAGGCAATCAAAGAAAAATCCGTGCTTGTTGTCATCGTGACTCAGCTAGACAGACTGGTGACCTTTCACTCTTATATGAAGTGTTTTGACGAATCATCTGTGAGTATAAGTGACAATGATAGCTGCATTCCGAGAACACTTCGGTTAAAACGTGATCTGCTATCTGTTTTAAAGGTTTTAGAATGTTACGGGTGCAAAAAAACTTCAGCCATCATCAGTAAAGTAGCTGTACAATACGTGTAACAAATACGCAAATACAGACACGCCCATCACACGATAACCATTGGCTATGATACAACGCAATCAGAAAAAACCCCGCCCACCGCATTGCTACAAGCGCTACCATTGGATATAATACAGCTGTACAAGTAGAAATAGTTGAAGACGTTTCCGTGTGGAAGAAGAGAATACAGATACTTCACAAGCCTCCACACATCAAATACCGGTAAGAATTGCCAGTTCTGCTTACAAAAGATATTTACGTTGCATGCAAAGATTTGTGTTTGAGCTTCTTTGTTATAGCGCTAAGTCGCAGGCAAAACTTATTTATATGAACATATCGATGTTGCAGACCACTTTGTATTAAAAACCTTTCTTATCAGTTATTTCTTAATGATAGGATGTGGAACCATTACAATACATTTTGGTTAAGTTTTAAAACAAGTAAATCTCTATAAAATGGAAAGGATCTGCACATACCTGAATTGAAGTCGTTTGAGCATTTGAGAATTTAAACTACTGATGATGGGTCAAGGGGATATAATTGAACAAATAACGTTGAAAATATATCTTTGAAACGTTTTCAGAAAATCAACTGAAAATGATTTAATAAAATATGTCATATAAATATATTCACAAATAATATAAATATATATTATATTATATATATATAAATACACAAATATATCTAACAAAACATACACAGAAATACAACTGTCATATATATATATATATATATATATATATTTATATATACAAGCAGACTTTTGAACAGCAGTGTACACACACACACATATATATATACACTACCGTTCAAAAGTTTGGGGTCGGTACGATTTTAAATACTTTTAAAAGAATTCTCTTCTGCTAACCATGGCTGCGCTTATTTGATTAAAAATACAACAAAAATCAGTTATAGTATTAAATATTATTCCAGTGTAAATCAGCTGTTTTCTGTGTGAATATATAGTAAAGTGTAATTTATTCCTGTGATCAAAGCTGAATTTTCAGCATCACCAGTGTCAGTGTCTTCAGTGTCAAATGATCCTTCACAAATCAGTATAATTATGAGGATTTGATGCTCAAGAAACATTTATTATTATTATCAATGTTGAAACAGTTGTTGGTCTGTCAGTTGTACAGTTTTTTTTTTTTTTTTTTAGGATTCTTTGATGAATAGGAAGTTCAAAAGAACAGCATTTGTTTGAAATAGAATCTTTTGTAACATTATAAATGTCTTTACTGTCCTCAAGTATTGATCAAGTATCAAGTATCAAGTATTGATTTCTTTCCTCCAAAAAATAAAAATAAAATTCTCACTGACCCCAAACTTTTGAACGGTAGTGTGTATATATATATATGACAGTGTGTGTGTGTGTGTGTGTGTGAACTTTTGAACAGCAGTGCACACACACACACATATATGTATATATATATATATATATATATATATATGTATGAATGAATGAATGAGGCATTTATATAGCGCTTTCATATATACTACTGTACACCCAAAGCGCTTTACAATCATATCAGGGGTTCTCTCCTCAACCAGCACCAGTGTGCAGCATCCACTTGGATGATGCGATGGTAGCCACAGTACAACGGCGCCAGTACGCTCACCACACACCAGCTATAGTTGGAGAGGAGAGAGAGTGATAGAGCCAATTCAGTGGATGGGGATTATTAGGAGGCCATGATTGGCAGGGGCCAATGGGTGGAATGTGGCCAGGACACCGGGGTTACACCCCTACTCTTTACGAGAAGTGCCATGGGATTTTTAATGACCACAGAGAGTCAGGGCCTCGGTTTAACGTCTCATCCGAAGGACGGTGCTCTTTGACAGTATAGTG